AAGCAGTGGTATCAACGCAGAGTACTGGCCGGCAGTCATTCTACGAGCCTGCAGGTAGGCTCATTCGAAAGAGCGTGAGTTCCTCGACACAATGGTATGCAAAAGAGATGGGTATAAGAAACAGCGGAGATTTGGCGGATGGGGTGGAAAAACGCGGCCTCAGTGGTGGTTGGGGTGAAGGCTCTTATCAACACCAAAACAGTTCTAGAGCTTCAAAATGGATCTATTACAAGAACATTGACAGTTTTAAGCTTCCACGATTGAACTGGTAGCGAAAGAAGCTCTATTCAACTTTAGCTGGGTATCCTCACCCTACCACTGAGGCCGCGTTTTTCTACCCCATCCGCCAATTCTCCGCTGTTTCTTATACCCATCTCTTTTGCACACCATCGTGTAGAGGAAGTCTCGTTCTTTCGAATGAGCCTAATTGCAGGCTCACACATTGACTACAAGCCGAGTTACAAGCCTGCAAAGCGGTACAAGTCAGTGGTGAGGTGCAGGTGGGGTCATGTACACGCACTGTCAGAAGCCATTTTCAGCAAAGAAACTCACCAGCACACGTCCGATGCATAGAAGATGGCAAAGGGCATCCATTTTATCCGAATAGCCTTGTTTGAATGTTTTGCATGGTTTTCCATGTGAAGAAATTCGGCTTGAAGCAGGGAATTAAAAGTTGTTTTTTGAAAAGAAGCAAAATAAAATTCAAGCTTGTGTTTTCTGGGAAGCAACCATAACCAGAGATCAGATCAAGCACTCTTTTGCTTTTCTTACCATCGCTGTCTCTCTCAGGCACGACCTATCTTGGGTGGACGCAACGGCGCCCATTGTTCGCGTGTTAGAATCGCCAATATTTAAGCAGTGGTATCAACGCAGAGTACTCCTCAAATCGTAAAAAACACACATAAAAAACAAACAAGTATTATCAACATAAAACCGCGAAATTCAGGTAGAGCACTTGAACCCGTGTTAGTAGGAATATCATCGTGTGACTGTAGATAATTCCTTATAACAATGTTGGACGGAAACATCTTGGCAGAATGTGATCGTTTTCTAGCAAGCTTGTCCATGTCATGAGCGATGCGGCAAGTGAGAAAATTCTTACAAACCTTGAGCTTTGATCTGGGATCGGTAAGTTTCCTACACCTACCTCTTCTATTGGACCTCATCGTAGGAAAAGAGCATAAAAATGACCGCAATTATGCGATTTTATGTGAGAGATTTGCGCCTATTATGATCAAGAGAACAAAGCCCCAGTCTGACGTTACGAGTGTTACTGTCGAGTATGAAATCATATCTGTAGCCAGTTGCCCAAAGAAAAAGGTTGGTGAAATTGTTTTGTACCTTCTCCATCCCCAGGGGATCACACATAGTAGAGAAAATCTAATCAATTATGACAGTAACCTGGCATCATTTATGCGCAGGTATTAGGGTATGAGAACCTTCGCAAGATAGAGAAGGAAGAAGAAAAATACGTCAAGTAGCGAGATATGACGTCCCCTCTTAGGGTTTTCGGTTTACGGAAGAAGTTAGATCTTCTAAAACTTGAAAAAGCAAAATTTCCATCAAATTCGCAGTATTTCTCAGTCATGCTCCGAAAAGCGTCAAATTTTTGCTCTACTATGAGACTCACTCTGTGCGATCTACCTACCCTTTGTATAAACAGAGAAAAAACAAAAAAAAAGATAAATAAACGTAAACACATTTAGAGGCAGAATTCACGTCTGATAACATAAACTGGAAATGTTGAAACACTATTACCACCTGCAAAAAAGATTCCAGTAAATAGAGCTACGTAAGGCGATGCGGCAACAACCTTACACAAGGAGAAT